AGGCCATGGCAGTCCCTGCGCACGTGAAAGCAGTGGAAGTAAAGACAGCCATTTTCCGGCCAGACCTGGGCAAGAAAACAAGCAAGTCCTGCAGGCTGCGAACGCGGCGAGTCTCGGCACGAAACTTTTGGTGCTGCACACCAAGCACAACACCCACAAGCAGTGGGGCAAGCACAACCAAGAGAAGCACAACACCGACCCGGCAAGCAACTTCTCCTGTGCTTGAGCAACCAGGTCAAACACCATGGCACGCTCGGCAGCATAACTAACGAGAGACATCTTAGAAGTTCAAGAACCAAGAAAACGTCGACGAAAGCCTGAGCAGAAGGCTGCGGAAAACTGAACATGCCACAACATGTTCGTGACACCGACAAGACTCTCGTAAAAAGTCACAGACGCAGCGCTTCAAAGAAAGACAGTACAAGAGGGTAGTGCTGTGTTCTCAAAGTCTTTTCGAGTGCTCATGCTTTCCAGAGCAACGGTGGACACGGATCCTTTCAGCAACCGTGGGATGGTTGTCACAACACGCCAATGTTTGGCAATCAACAGATGATCGCGGCCACGCATGTCAAGCGCACAACCATCCACTGGAACGTCGTGCAGTGTGTATGGTCGCAAGGAAAAAAATTTCTCAGTCTGTCGCCAAGACCAGCAAGCACACGACCGAGACCACGAAACTCCCACGCATGCACAAAACAAGTCAGCTTAAAGGTCTTCAAGAGAGCCTTTTTTGGAGCTTCCAGTACTGAGCCCAACGGCTACCGGTCGCGGTCTCGGACATGCAACCTCCCTTCTTCTACAGTGAGCACCAGCAATGTTTGCTGGCTGGTGTCTCTTTGCTCAAGTAGAACGTTCACACATTCAAGGTTTTCAGCTGGAGCACTAGAGAGCAAAGGTAAGACACGGAAGTTCATCCAGGCAACACGCCACAACTCGACGAAGCCATCAAGCACGCACGCAGCACAGAAAACTTCACGCAAGTCCAAACCCCAATGTGGTCACTGTCAAGCTTGACGGTTTGGGAAACAAGTCTGCAACATTTGCTAGGTTGGGTATGTCCACCTTCTTTGCGAAGAAGTCGTCTGCAATTGCATGTGTAAGTTTTGCTGGCACGAAGCTATCGCAGGACTGCCAACCGAGACGGTAAGATGTCCACTGTGACGCCACGCACAGTGCACCTGAAACCATACAGACCACATTTGACAAGTGTCACCAATATATGTTCAACCTTGCACAACAGCAGCTCTTCCATCTTCCTCCATGATGCCTCGCAAGTCCAGAACCAAGGCTATTGTCACACTTTGCGTCTTTTCCACAGCGAGCAGGCCGCGCATCCATGGGCCTAGCGCAGTACGACTTGTTCGCATGTGCGGCAACTAGACGACTACTTTTCAAAACAAGTGGCGAAGTGCAACCCGATCGATCACCGATTTGATCGCTCGAATTGTAACATTTGTGGCATTGATGACCACTTTCACCCAACATCAGAAAAATGAGTTGCGATCCATCTTCTGCAACTTATCAGTCTGTGCCTCGACTTGTTGCCGCTCTGGCATTTTGACGCTTGCTCTGCTTGAAGATTGAAGCTGCCAGTGTGAGCCATTATGCAACCCATGCTTGATGGGACGAACTTGCCATTACGCAACCCTGAAATCGGGAGCGGAACATCTAAAAGAGACCAATGTTAATGTGACATTCATTGCTGAACGATTGGTCGCTCCCGTTTTTGGTTGCTTCTTGTGATTCGTTTGAACTGCGGCAACTGCCGTCGTATTGGTCCACTCATCCAAAAAAAAACAAAAAACGCGGTTACAGAACCGCACCGTTCAAACCAAGTCTTTCCAGTTTCACGTTCGACCGCGCTTTCAGGCAGGCCCTGTCTGCTGCAAGCCTTGCTTTGGGTGCCGTTTGTCGGCCCGTTCAGCTGCTATTGGAGACGTGCATGGTTCTGCTCACAGTGCTTCAGGAGCCGTTTTGGGTGAGCGTAAGTAAATCTGAATGTGCAAGCCATTGGCGCGATTGCTGCAAACGAAAACGCAACGAGAACACGACGACGCGGCGACTGCCATTGCTTCTCTGCCTCCGACAAGAAGGTTTTGAGTTAGCAATCGCGGAGAAACGCCAGGAAGAGATGCCACAGAGCCGTCTTGATCGGACAAGTGCGTTTGGATGCGGACTTGGAAATGCGCTCTCCATGTGGTGCACTTGGTTTTCAAAATTGAGAGACGCGACAACAACGCGATGCGGCGTTGCTGAATGCCTGCCCTTGATGCGGTGCCCTTGCTGCAGTCGCTGCAGGTCTCCAGGCCGCTGGGCCAAGGATACGCGATTGCGACGCGACGCGGCGATGACGCAGTGATGACTTGACGATTGGTTAGCACACATACCGCAATGCTGAAGTATTTCTACTGCGACGACGACCGCTGCTACGGTTGATGGACAAAATTCTGCATGACCCAAATAAATTATAGTACCGTAAAGCCCATATTTTAGGTATATAAGGTCATGCAGGAT